AGAGACAAAATTTGAAATGCTAATATTCATGTAGAACTTTGAAAATTTTTTTGTTTAAACATGAACGTTTTGTTTTTCTTTCCTCACATTTTTTATTTAGAAATCTTATTATTATTTAGAATTAACTTTGCAACGTTTTTTATTTGGGAGAATACATACAAAAAGCAAGCAGACTTTGCTTCTTTCTTTAACAAATGAATAAAAACATCTTGTACATTGATTTAAGCATGTTCTGATATAAATGAAATGTCATATCTGAATTACTTCATATGATAAATTGATATATAGCCAATGTAATCATTTTAACCATCACATCGCCTAAATAATGTTTCTTGGTATAAATGAACTCGGAACACATGTCTCGTATTTCATTGTAATTCATTTATTCAACTATATGATTGTTAAGCTAATTTGATAAATTGTCGTTCACTTCTATTTTTTAGTTAAGCGGACATTTTGTTTTAAGTAGAGTAAAAGTATCTTGTTGATGTGAAAATATTTGTGTCAATTTCTTTATAACTTTAATCGTCCTTGTTATGCTATTACAAAATAATTGCGACCTTTACTACAAAACTGGTTCTTCATAGAATCCCACATTGATTCTTTTCAGAAATTTCATTCGATCATTTCATTTTCACTTATATGTCCATTATATTGAGGATATTTTAATTATATCATTTGCACACACAAGCCTTTCACGAGAGAGAAATGTAGAAATAAAACAATATTATTTCATGCGGTTTGAATTATTAGCGATGCATTCTTTATCCTATCAATTTTGCATGAATTCTGAGAAATAATTCGATACATTGGTGATTAAAAAGAATCCAATTAGTAGTTAAGATATTTCTATCTAGGTGAAGGTTAAGAAATGCAATACATAAGATAAGAAGAATGCAACATATATTTGAACGTGAATAGAAACATTATTATATTATCGTTTTGCATATATCATTCAGATACTAGTGTCGCTATAACAAAGACTCCATCAAACAGACACTGTTATATTCATCTTTTTTTTGTTTCCATTGTTCTCGAGAGGTTTGCGCTTTTCTAGACTTCTCAGGAATTAATATTTGAACAGTGAATGATCTTCTTATTACTGATTATTATCTTTTGTTTTCATAAAAAGCATTATATAATTTTGGCATATTCTACATCATATGAATATGTCACCAATAACATCTTTAAAAAAACCAGATGTACCATAATGGTCTTGATTCGCTCCTCAGAGTTTATTAAAAAAGTTTTTTTTATACAGATCTACATAAAGGGTAACACAATCCAACCCCGTAAGGGCCTTGCTCTTTGGCGAATCAAAATTAATGTTACAATATTTGTTGTCGGCATTTCTCTCTATTTAAAATCTGACAAATGATTTTCAGTGATTTCTGTATGAACATGTAAGGAAGTAAGGCCACACCCCGTCGCTTATCATTCACAGGTTATGGATGGTCATCGCTTAATCATGTCTGAACATGATGTTTTCCTTTAGTTTGGTATATAGTTTTGCATAAAATGGAATGAATTCTTAAATCAGCGTTGAAAAAACATCAGCCTAGGTAAGATTCCTTAGAAGATCTGTCCCAGCGGTTAAAGAGATACCCTTTACAATCAAAGTACTGAAAGTACTGGGGTATTCATTGTGTTTACAGATCTGACGGAACTGATAGTAAATGAAAACTATTTTAAGCTAATTGCGAGCTGGATCAACCTCAGTCAACCCTGGAAGTCTGTCGTTCAGCAATGTTTTCTAAACCTGATTGGCTTGTAGGTTCAAATTACAATAACAAATCATTCAATAAATAACTTTATTAACAAAAAACAAGAGAACTAAACTTTATAGAACTGAAACAAATAAATATATATACAACACTTTAAAAAAATGTTATCGATAAAATTATTAATGAAATGGTTTTAGAAAATGTCATCAGGCCTTTGGTTTTCATCAGGCCTTGTTTTTTATCAACTGATTCTTTTTATTATTTGACTTATTTAACAAAAGTATCTGCAGTTTTTGACATTTCAAAGCAGTAATTACTTAAAACTGTGTGTATATACAGAAAACAGGAATAAAATTGTATCATACGCATTTTAACAGCAACATAAATAGAATTCTTAAATTAAACAAAATTTACATCTTTATGACAGCTTATCTTGTTTACCCTAGGTCAGAGTGGTAATTATACAGTAAATACTTATTGCTGAATATTCATAAAGCATATCACTCTAAAACAAGCAATATTCTGTCTTTCCAATTATTATATAGACTGATTGGTAATCGGTTTAAACAAATCTTAAACAAGATAAACCAACAATAAAAACTACACTGTTATATTCAAAACAAAGCTAATTATTAAGACAAACAAATATGAAATCAATGCTATTATAATCATTACTTTAATTGTTTTGAAGATGAAATATATATACAAAATAAAGTACAAATGCATGTTAGAGGTATTATGCTTATTCCCTTGCAATAATAGTTGCATTACCTGTATATATGTCATTAAAAGATTGTATAATGAAATGACTAAGGATGAATAATAACAAATATATTGAGTGAAAGTCAAGAAATTTATTAAGTATGAAGCATTGTAAAACTTTTCCCACTTAATTGTTATCCAACCCTAGCCTTTGAAAAAGAATTTGATGAAAAATAATATTTGAATGTTCATCAAGTAACATTGGATAGGCATAATACCACTTTAATGCTTACATATTACAACAATCTTGAATTATGCTTTGTAAACAATAATTTTACCGGCATCAAATGAACTTTTCAATCATTTAAGAGGTCTGGTCCCACAAAAAATGATAAATTTCTAACACCTTGGGTAAAAAAAATATAAATTCACATTAGTATACATGTATATGTCCAAATATGTGCTTACATTAATTCTTGCAAATCTTAAATATCCCTTCCTAGAAGAGTTCTTTTTTTTTTTAAAATAGTGTTTTTTTTTTAAATAGAACTGAAACAAGTAAATTTATATACAACACTTTAAAAAAATGTTATCGATAAAATTATTAATGAAATGGTTTTAGAAAATGTCATCAGGCCTTTGGTTTTCATCAGGCCTTGTTTTTTATCAACTGATTCTTTTTATTATTTGACTTATTTAACAAAAGTATCTGCATTTTTTGACATTTCAAAGCATAAATTACTTAAAACTGTGTGTATATACAGAAAACAGGAATAAAATTGTATCATACGCATTTTAATAGCAACATAAATAGAATTCTTAAATTAAACAAAATTTACATCTTTATGACAGCTTATCTTGTTTACCCTAGGTCAGAGTGGGTAATTATACAGTAAATACTTATTGCTGAATATTCATTAAGCATATCACTCTAAAACAAGCAATATTCTGTCTTTCCAATTATTATATAGACTGATTGGTAATCGGTTTAAACAAATCTTAAACAAGATAAACCAACAATAAAAACTACACTGTTATATTTAAAACAAAGCTAATTATTAAGACAAACAAATATGAAATCAATGCTATTATAATCATTACTTTAATTGTTTTGAAGATGAAATATATATACAAAATAAAATACAATTTAAGTGAATTACATGTCACAAATGAGCCGTGTCATGACAAAACCAACATAATGGGTTTGCGACCAGCATGGATCCAGACCAGGTTAGTCTGATCAGGATCCATGCTGTTCGCTTACAAAACCTTATTACAAGTAGAGAAACTGATAGCGAACAGTATGGATCCTGATCAGACTGGGCGGATGCCCATTATGTTGGTTTCGTCATGACACGGCTAAAATGTTTTTGCTATCGACTTTTGTTCCTAAATTAACAACAGATTGCATAATGATAAATAAAGATATTGAAATAATTAATATACAATTGGCTCTAAGTGCCAAGCTTACAGATTTTAAATAAACCTTGAGCCCTGTGTTGGCCTTTAAACATGTCAAACATTTAGAAAGTATTTATTAAGGAAAAGTGTATACAAATAATCATGTACCTCTTCATTATATGCCCATGACATTGAAAAAACATTGTGTCATCTGTTTACTTCAAGGTTAGTCACATTGACAGTATCACATTTTAGACTTCATCTCTCTTGATTCCATTCATAAAAAGCACCCCCCCCCACCCTGCAGGGCCAGTTTTAACCCAAGGGCTTTTATTTGAACAAACTTGGAAGACATCCATAAGAAGATGATTCATGCTAAACATCAAAGCTCTAGTTTATTGGGTTTTTTTTAAAGAAGATTTTTTAAGTTTTTACTAACATATACTGTTAAAAACAATGACAACCCTGGAGCAGGGCCAGTTTTGACCCCAGGGCTTTTATTTGAACAAACTTTGTAGACACTCACTAGAAGATGTTTCAACTTATAATAAAAACTCAGCTTTTTGGGTTCTTTAAAAAAGATTTTTGAAGTTTTTACTATATGCATATAGGGAAAATCAATGATCCCCTGGGGCAGGGCCAATTTTGACCCCGGGGCTTTTATTTGAACAAAACTTGGTAGAACACTCATTAGAAGATGTTCATGCTAAATATCTTAGCTCTAGCTCTTTGGGTTCTTTAAAAGAAGATTTTTAAGTTTTTACTATTTGCATTTAAAGAAAATTAATGACTCCCTAGGGCAGGACCAATTTTGACCCCAGGGCTTTTATTTTAACAATCTTTGTAAACACTCACTAGAAGATATTTCATGCTAAATATCTTAACTCTAGCTCTTTTAGTTTCTTAAAGAAGATTTTTTTAAGTTTTTACTATATGCATTTAAAGAAAATTAATGACCCCCTGGGGCAGGACCAATTTTGACCCCGGGCCTTTATTTGAACAAACTTGGTAAACACTCATTAGATGATGTTTCATGCTTAATATCTTAGCTCTAGCTCTTTGGGTTCTTTAAAAGGAGATTTTATAAAGTTTTTACTATATGCACATAGGGAAAAACAAAGACCCCTGGGGCGGGGGCCAATTTTGACCCCAGGGCTTTTTATTTAAAAAACTTGGTAGACACTCACTAAAGGATGTTTCAAGCCAAATATCTAAGCTCTAGCTCTTAGGGTTTTTTTTAAAGATGATATTTAAAGTTTTTTTCTTTCGGTTCCCATTGCAACCAGAGTTCTGCATGGAATTAAATTCTTTGCACAATTTTTAAAGGTGACAGCCAAAGGAACATTCTTGTGAAGTTTGGATGAAATTAGCGTAGTGGTTTATGAGCAGATGTCATTTAAAGTAAAAGTTTACGGCCGGACGAAAAAGGGATCACAAAAGCTTGACCTGTCACTTTGTGACAGGTGAGCTAAAAACTAAGGAATGGAGTTATGGTTCTTTGACACATTGGAAAATTCGAGTCGTTCAAGTTGATGTAGATTCAGTGATAGTTTGGAATAAGCATTTTTAACTTAAGGAATATAATTAAAACATGAAGCAAGGTAGAGTTATGTTTCTTGAACATTGCACTTCCTCTTAAAAGTCTCTATCACTTTGTGAAGTTTACATAAAATCCCTTCAATACATATCTAGTTATATTCATATTTCGGACAAGAGTGTGAAGGACAAATGTCTTCCTAAGTACAGACTATGTTTTTTTTTCCTTTATCAACTAAAATCTCAAAAACACCATTAAAAACATATTTTCCTCCCATGAGCAACCTTTTTCCCCAAAAGTACAAGTCTGTATGGAATGAACACAGATATTTATCCAGAATCATAGGAGCATAAATTATAAAAACATGCTAAATCTCTGTATAGTTCTATATCAGATACCAGTATGATGAACCTTACTTTTGTACCATTTAAGTTATAGCAAAATTCAGCTTTCAGCTTTCATTGACATACAGAAATGGGTCAGCCTTTAGTCCCCTCTTAATGAAAATAGAAGGGGACTAATAACAACAATTTATTCTCATAGTTTCAATTCTCAGGTTTATTACTTATCATTACACCAGGCAAGCTAAGATACATGTTAAAACCACAGGCACTATATACCACATTTACCCATATATATGCTCATAATACTATATATAAAAGAATAAAGGTCCCTAACGAGAGAAAAAATATCATGCAAAACAAACAAGAACTGTTCGGTAAAAATACACCAGATCACTATTTTATCTTTATGGTTGTCTCTAGGAATAATGTATCCTATCATAAACACTTTTTACTTCATCGAAATCCTACAAAATGCTCCAAAATACGAGCAAGTTTCCAAATTTCACTGAAATGTCATTGCATGTCGTTTTCGACGTCCAAGCGATGCATGTTAACAAAGGTGAATTCTAGTCAATTTCTACAAAATCAACGAATAACTGTTAAGATTTCGACATACTTTCTTTAAGGCAACTTGTATACAGTCAAAACTATGATGTTTTTACTTCACAACTGTCTGACGATAACACTAACAAGCTAATAAATTAAAAATAATTGACAGCTCTGTTCCAGAAAGTAACCATTTCCTACATTACCGCACTGAATATAAGGTAAAGTAATGATTGGTTAAGCGGAAAATCCGAGTTTTAAACATTTTCCTTCAACACAATGTTCATGACTGGCCTTGACTATTGACAGGGGATTCAATTCAGACTAGCCCTCTAAAATACTCCAACTAGTCCAAAGTGTTAATGGTGCCTATACAGTTATGATCACTACATCTGGAAACTGGAGATTCCCACCGAGTGTGATGCTTATCTTCATTCGCTTGACAGTGACACATGTCCACCTTAAAAAAAAAGCAATAAAAATTATATGAAGTGCAATAATTTGCAAAAAAATGCTTATCTTATTTGTCTCTTCTTACATTTATAATGCAGAGCACTAGATTTGTGTGTCTGTCATACAAAATGACTTTCAATAATACTATTTAAATATATTTGAAATACAATTTCTTTAATAAATACTCATAGTAATACTAAATTCCTTTTTTGTGATATTTTTTCTGACACATATGTGCAGACAGTACATTGTGTACACCGGTCTTACTGACCTGTGTGAAACCATTCTAAGCATGATGCCAAGAAAATTTTGGACTTGTGAGAGGCTGTAAATGACCCCAGATTGATCATAAGGTAACGTGTAACCAACGCTGAAAAGCATTTGACTATATCTCAATCCATTGAGAAGTGGCATCACTTTGAAATCAATTTTGACTGAAAAAATCGAGGCAAAGTAGTGATTTTGGGCAATTTTGAGATGTCCCCTCGTTGCCATGGGAACAGAAAATTTAAGCCTGAGCATGTTGTTGCAAGGGCAATGGTCCAGTCAACATTTGTGCCAAGTTTGATTAGTGTTGAAGCAGTTTTTATAGTATTATAGCAATTTGAACTTGTAACGGGAGACTTTTCAATGGAAACAGCCATTTTCACAAAATGCTCATGAAGTAATGGGTTAAGAAATTTTGCATCTTGATTGGGAAAAATATTTAGTACCATGTACAAAGTTGTTAATCCAACAAATTGTATATCATTCAAAGCATAAAAAATACATAAAAAATTGACAATGGAATGTGTTTTTGAACATCATCTGTCTGGTACCATATTGGATTGAAATGGAATGAAGAAAAATTGTCACCTTTGATAACGGAATTTTGACTTATGATTTTTTTTCTAAACTTGGAAAAGAAAAAAAGCATATTTGGTATTATTTGCCACTGGGAATGGGTCTGTTAATCTGACCCGTGGTGACACTGGTAAAAATGCATGTTTTCATTCATTTTTTTTGGAAAACAGTTTGGTTTGTGAATATACATTAAATATTATATAAGTACCTGTTGTTTGTAATAATCTTCTAGTCTTTCTTTAATCTTATACTGTACTTTTTCTAGCTACATGTACCAGCCTTTCCAAGTGAATATTAAAGTAAATAATCTTTTATTTCCCTGAAAATATCAATTTAGAGATTTCATTTTCAAAACCATCCAAAACCATTTTACTTGTTTAAATAAGAAAATATATTTAAAGGGCGAATGCATACGATGATTATCTGCCATATTAATTTTATCAATAATTTCTGGTACAGGAGTTACCTCCCTTCTGTACATTTCTCACTTTCTGCTACTTTGACCACAGCAGTAGCTTCTATATTTGGATTCTTTTAGAGTTGCCCTAGGAAGTGAAGGATTATCACTCCCGAGATCCTGGATTTAATATAGGGTTACACCCTTGGGATTGTTTAGAGACACTTTTAGTGTTTCCAACCTACCTAGAGCTGTACTCAGAAATCCAGACATGTAAAAGAACAAAGGGGTCTATTCAATAAAAGCTAAATACTGGTTCCTGGATTCCCTTGTATTTCATAGCTGGCTCTTTAATGTATACTTAAAGTAATCGTTAACAATTTTAAAGCAGTATGATATAGATATTGGTAATCTAAACTTGTATGAATTTTGGCATACTTTCAATTTAGCAAGACCCAGTTAGTAAAAAACAAAGATGGCTGAATCACCTCTACTAATATAAACCACAGACGACTGTCCTAGCTTAGATACAACAATATACATGTTGATAAAACAAATTGAACTTAAACTTAGGCATCAAGCAAGTGGCAGATATCATGATCATTTTATGTATCAAAACCACACACCGACTGCCTCTGCAATTTTCATAATAAAAAATTATTGTTACCAGTATATAGATTTACTTACGTCACAAGGAATATCCGCTACAATACCCACTACAAAAAGGTTACAGTCAACCTGGAAATAAATATTATACAGCATTTACCACATCAATCTAACTTTAAATCCTTCATGTAATTTTGATTCTTATTTAATTTTTGAACATAAGCGACTTCCGGTCGTAAACAAACAAAGGAACTTCCGGTATGAGTCATGTTTATGGCGCGAACCTTACATAATGAAATTTGTTAATATTTCACAACCAAATACAAAACTCTAAAAAGCAGCTCATTAACCACATTTTCTAACGAAAAGAAAGTGATGAAATAGATAATAACAAACGCCTTTCACGCTATTGTCAACAATGGGCCAATTCTCAAAAGTGGGTCAACCTCGTGTTTGTGTTTATGTTATGACCAAGTTACGTGACACACGAGTAAACAACAAAAAAACATGACAATGATCAAAATCAGTGGATAAGTTGGTCTCAAATCGAAACATTCTAACACTTTCATTTCGAATTATAGGGAAAATTACGTAAATGACAAAATGACGAGCGGCCGAGTCAATCAAAGTGTTTTTGAACTTGGCCGTTTATTCAAATTTCCCGTAAAATACTCGTCAAGTTATGTAATGAATAAATATATAAAGTGATAATCAATGAAAAAAAAACAATAACTCAAATATATTTACTTACAATATGTGCGATGGTTGTTGATTCTTTCCTGAGCAATTTCTCTTACGTGTTGTTCTCTTCGATAAATTATTGTGAGTCTGCGCATGCGTTAATAATAATTTGTAGCGTAGAAATACAGGAAATTTTTATCGATGTTTTTAGATGTCAAACATGAATAAAGTGCATGATTTTCGGGTAGAAAAAACTTTAACATAATTTTTTGCAACATTGGGACGGATAAGTCATCGCTTAGCGTATGCTTAAAGCGATTTAAGTGCAAATCATGAACTACTTTATGTCACGGACGTATAAGCGGATGGATGCTGTTCAGCAAATCCACTCTGCCTACCTTTTTTTGAGATTGTACTTATAACTCTGTATTCATTCTGCTTCGCACAATGAATACAAAAAGCGGAGAGGAATTGGTGAACGAAGGACTATTAGTGCGCACAACAGCGTACATTAATTAAGCACTTTCTGCTTTGGTGAGCTAAACAACTTAATGTTGAAAGAAACATTTATAACGACAAGCGACAAATCAGTTAGGAAAATAAATGACAATGCCAGTATGTAGCTTAGATTCGATAAACGGTTGTGTGGATTTTGCTGCGTTTTTTTAATGTATGATTTCCTTGAAGGATCACTATAAATAGTTACAACTGTTGTTTGTGTTGCTTTTCCAGAATATGTTCTGGTATTAAAACAACAAATATTTGTGTGTTAATAAACTTACACCACCATCTTTATAAGAGATTGTTAAAAAATGAACAGCAAAGAGTTTTATCAATTTTTATGAAGTGAAAACAAAGATTTCCGTTCTCAATAAGTCTACTACAATATTATATGTATAGCGTATTAAATTGTTAAGATCTTGTGGGTTTTGGTGTTGTTGTTGCTTTTCTTTTTTTTCTTTTTTTTTGAAGTTGTAGTTAAAATACCATAGACGTTGTTGATTTGAAATTCCGCCTACATTCAGCATGAAAATAATTTAAGGGAAGTGAACAAGAATTTTAGATTAAAATGGTGTAAAGTTCGTGACCAATTTCTTCTAGAAAACCAAGATTCTGTGTATGTGTCTATCAGTAATTATAATATTTTTCTATATCACATACTGTGTATTCTAATATCGAACACAATTATTTAACTGCTGTTAATGATAACTTTATAGATTAAGCAACAAAATGATAAATCTACCATAAGCAAAAACATGATATTTGAAATGAATGTGTCAAGTTAGTGACTATAAAATCGTATTCTGCTGCAGTCTGATTTTTAACATGATAATATTGACCGTATATCAATAAATTCATTATTTCGCTTTATATAAAACGACTGTACATTTTAATTTGACACCGAAAAGCATAAGAAGATCATAGCTACATGCTATTTTTTAGAAAACTAGCTAGAATACAACAAACACGGAAATATGAATTACGCGTTAAATACAATTGTACTGTACTCATCAACCAAGACAATTATTTAATTGCTAATTTCCAAACTTCCGCTGGCGTTCATTGTAAATATTGATTCAGTCATTCAAATTCGTCAAATTCTTAAATTTCTCTGCAAATATTAATCCCAAATGAAATAAAATTGCATCACTGACTCTATGTATAACACAATATATATTTAAAATTGTGAGAGGCCGTCTGAATGATATTAAAATCTGGAAACAGGGAGATCCCTTGGAAGCAATAAAAGTAACAAAATTATATGGAAATTGCATCCTTTGAATAAAGTTTGTATATGAGAGATAATTTTAATAAAAACATCTCTCACACCCCTAGTACCGGCTTAAGTAGATATTAGATAAGATATTATTATTTATTGCGCCTATCTAGAGATGCTGAAACGCAAGAAATGTAACGTTGCTCTAGATCCAGGGGCTTTCAAGCATTACCATGTTTGTTCAAAATGCAAAAATATTATTGACTCTTTTATAAACCATTCCGTTCGGTAGAGTCGAAACCTTTATTTACATGTTGAATTATAGTTGTTCGTTGTTCGTATGTAATATGTTATCGTACCAATGATAATGTAAGCAAAATGTGATTAAAACATGAGATCACTGGCAAGACTAATCAAAGACATATACGTAATTTTTGCGTCATTTTGTGGATAAAAATAGAACAATCTTTGCCTTGGTCACATTGATGATCTATTAAGTCTGTTGGATTAATTGGTAGATTGTCTCTGTAAACCATGCCTATAAATTCCCGTTTTCGTGAAATAACTTGTGAAGATAGGTAAATCACTGAGTATAAAAGTAAAATAAAAAGAATAAGATAACAAACATCTGACTTCATTTGTAAAGTGTTTGTATTAGCTCTTACCACCTTGATATACTAAATAGACTTTTCAATCTTCCAATTTTTCAATCTTGACAAACTTATTCATCATCTGGGGGTGATAATAAATGCTGTGTAAATAGGTAAAAGTGCAAACCATGATCAGACAGCAACATATCATTTCAGTAATAATTTTCATCTCTTATTTACCGCGAGTTGCTATGCAAATGTTATATATACAATGTTAAAAAAGTTTATTTGTAAAGCAAATAATTATGAAATTATATGCACCAATGACTCAATATGGAGTGTGTAATGTTCAGTGCTGGTGTTCAGGGTGTGAGATTTGCTCCGTGAGCATAGTTCATGTTGTCAGAAGTGTTGTGTTGGTACTCGTAATCGGAGTGCAAAGTGCTCACATCAATAAAATAGAGAGAACAAGAATCCCAAAAGACAGTACTGGAAAGTGCAAGCTACTGCCCACGCCTCCTTGCACCGGCTTTTAACCGAGCCTGCAACAGAATACCATTTCATGCTAAATGTTCAAATTTGCTTAAGTCGGTGTTAGGGGTGTAAACGGAAGATTGCATTTTCCAGTTCCGTCCATGAACAGGCTGAATCAAACTGAGCCCGCAACATTTACAATTTTGCTATTTAAGACGTTCTAAAGCACGGTGCCTATACCATTTGTCATTTATGATCTAAAGGAGCGAGACATCAATAGACGATTCGTAACATTTTATAATAAATGCCCACTTATTCTAGTGCATAACAACATAGAATGTTTTTGGGGCAAGTTAGTATTTTAACGGACAGGGAAACATTCGTGTTAAATGTCTGGAAAAAGAGATCCCTCGGAAACATTAAATCAGCAAACTATTATTTGTTATTACAGACATATTTTTGCTTTTTGTAAAATAACAGAACAGTTTGTCCAAAAAATCATTCGAACATTATGCAATTCGCACCAACATTTAAATGGACACTCTCTGCGCAACGAAGATATTTTTCTTTACCTCTGTCTGTGTTTTGCTTTGAATCTTGAATTGTTGTGTAATATTTAACGCTTTCTTTATCAGACAAAAGTAATAGATCCCAATATTTATTCAAGATTTCACTTATATTAGGCAGAGATGTATTTAAACTTAAAGTAAAAGGTATTATTGAACTAGTACTTTTAAGGGCAGGACTCAAAGAATCATTTAGGGACATGTTTAGAATTTTAGAAAACGCTTGTTAAAAAAAAATGTCAGAAAATTAGCTATTCAATGCATCTTAAGACTGTTTAAAAGTGCTGGCTTCGAAAATGACACGTCTATAGTGCTACGGGATGATAAAAGAAAGTACGGCGTACGGTCACTTGTTAAAAGCCGTTGGTATTCTAGAGAATTCTCGTAATGTTCTCAATAAATTGCGTCAATCTTCCAATTAACAGTTACTATTTTTAGAATATCGGCGTAATACACACGTATGCTGGATTACTTGAGAAAATTAGCTTTCCAAACATCAACAGTTTATATTAACATTGGTTCAATTTCACGTGAAATTACAGCGTATTTTGGAAATCGAATGAAACAAGAAGGAAATGTAGCAAGAGGGGTTAAAACAGTTACTTTTTAATCTAGAAAGGAAACTGGATTCAGACGATACAATGACTTTATTACAAAGAAATCCAAAATATAAGAATAGAATAAGGTATTATACTAATGCCTGTCATGACTTAATGTGTTATTGGGCAGAACATATCTGCGGATGTTGTTTATTTCTAATTATTGCACAAAATGTGAAAAACAAGATCAACAAGGAAGGGCGGCGTTCAATAAACGCAACCCCCACACGACCCAGTAACACAGGACTACAGGCAAGGATCCAAGCAGGACCCAAATAAAAACCAGCACAGAGCGCAAGACAAAGCACGGACGGGGTGATTACTATAATAATATTTAATATGAATTAATAGAAACCGACAATGAAATTAAGTTTTATTTATGCTTGAGCCGGTGCCAGTTGGTTATATTGTCGTAAAACAGGCAAAATAAAACATCTGCTCTCTGGCAAATTTGTTAAAACGTCAGAACTTGTTACTTAAAACTTTCACAAATAATACAAAAATGTACTTTCAAGTGTATCCCACTGCGATTCATTAAGTGATGTTCTGCCGCTCAATAATTTATTTATCTTTTTTATTTATTATGCAAAATGACGATAAATGTGTCCTACAAATAGCTTCCAAAAACTCCATAGTATGAAATCCTATGCGCATGAACTACTTTAAAAAGTATTTAGAGGAGGCAAAACATATCTATATTTTAATACAATGCCAGGCTGAATGCACGATTTGTTGTGTTATTTTATCACTTATTTTACAAGATTTGAATTATCCATTACATTAATGCATATTTTGTGTAACTGTATGAAAATTTATGTGGAGGTCAAGCTATCTTAAAATTAGTTTGTCTTATAATCATTGAAAATTTAAACACTTTTACTGATGCCATTCTTTCAAATCTCTGCAATTAGTGGGTTTGACAAAAATATACAATATTAATTGAAAACAAATCATACGATACGATAATTCAAAATAGAAAAGTCTGTTGATTATTTCACATTTACACATTGTGTTTCTATATCAAGATTCACTTTAATCTAGATTCAAATATTAAAGGGATTGAAATAACTTCAAGAAGAATCCTTTGATTGCATTTTTAATTAGCAAATCTTTAATGGAGTTGAATACTTTAACACTTAACTAAAAGGGTTTTTTTATGATGGGATACTAAAAAACCAATTTAGCTCGTTTAGATTGACATAAATAGAATGGTGAGAACTAACCAGATTTCTCCTAGAACGTTCACATTTAAGTTTATCGTATTAGTGTTGCTTGTCTGATGGTGATGATGATGATGATGTTGTTGTTGTTGTTTTTTGCTTTATTTTAAAAATAATAATATTTCACTTGTATTATTTGCGTGCCAAAGATGATCTTCCATTTAAATAAATAACTTATCACATTGTCACTTTTTAAGGACTATTCTCTTTTCATGGATCATGCTCATCTCGGAGAAGGCATCAGGGGCACCCGCGGATGATTTGCAGCAACGAGGACGGAAA